CTGGGAGGATGAGGGCAAGCCTCTGACCTCTGACTTCCGACCTCAGTCTTTCCCACCCCCAGCTTCTGCAGGGTGGAACAGCAAAGGCAGTGGAGGGAAGGAAGGTCATGCCCTCTCATGTGGGGATCCTGACACACTAAAGACACCCAGGAACTTGGCAGAAGGGCCCCGAGGTGAGGGAGAAGGATCGGGGTTCCTTAGGGTCTTGGGGGAACCGTTTCTGCTTTAGGCAGAATTCCATTTTACATATGTGCCATTGCTTTCATTTGTTTGTTGTATGACTCAGTTTGAACACAGATTTTATAAGCCATGTGGAAAAAAATGAATATTTGAGTTTTAACCAAATGCTTCCATGGACAGATCAGAGAAGTGAAACCCAGAAATGGAATAAATTTACCCAAACCTCCCTGTAAGTCAGGGCATAACTGAGAACTGGGGAGGAGCCAGGAGGTGAAGTGAGCTTTGGGTCCCATCTGCCAAGGTCTCAGAGGGCAGAGAGAGTCCTCTGACTTTTATTGGTTAATGAATAAAGAACTGCTTTGATCCTATGGCAGGGAAGAACAGAACTAGGAGAAAGCTAGGCTGTATGCTGGGAGAAAGAAGGGTGGAGTGAGAGAGAAGCCTTGGAGCCACCGGAGACAAACGCTGGGAACTTTACCCAGTAAGCCACAGCCACATGGTGATATATAGATTAATAAAAATGGGTTAAATTAATATAAGAGTTATCCAATAAGAAGCTAGAGCTAATGTGCCAAGCAGTGATTTAATTAATACAGTTTCTGTGTGATTATTTCGGGTCTAAACTAGCCAGGCGGCCAGGAACCAACAAGCAACCTTTCTCCAACAGTCCTCGGCTTCCAACTCTCTCCATCTCACCAGGAAGGGAGACAGGATATAAACACATCCTGTGGGAGCCAGGGACCCATGCCGATAGCACAAGAAAGGCCTCACCCAAATGTATGGCAGTTTGGCCCTCAGGAAAGATTTCCCCACAGACAGCATCTCTGAACTGCTCACTACACACCTAGGAGGTAGCAAAACTGAAGCTCTTAGCTCCAAATCGCCAACAAGTCAAAGCTTAGCAAGGCTCAAATGAAGCCGTGTGTGGCTGAGACTGGAACTGGACCACAAAGGTGTCCTAGGCTCAGGGAGGGATGAGATCTCCCTGAAGGAGAGCCTCAGCAGCCCGCTTCATTTACTCGGCTGTGCTGCCTGAAACCCACTGTGAAGGGTGTGTGTGTCGTACACAGAATCTGCTAGAGCTCAAGGTTGCATGTTCCAGGTGCCACAGACTAGGCAGGGAGCTTCCTGAGCAGGCACTGGCTGGACGGTTTCCAGCGAAATCAAGTTGAGCCTGGGCCTGAGGAGGGGCAGGATGGCCTGTGTTTGTGGAGAAAGACAGGTGGCGTGGGAAGGACCTTTGTGAGTAGACAAAACAAACAGTTTGAAGGTACAAAGCGTTTGCTATATCTTGGGGGAAGATGAGGGGCTTGATGGGGTCTGGGCAGCATAGTGACAGTGACCAAACCTCCAGGGTGGGGGCACCAGTAGTGTCAGAGGTCTCAGCTCCACCTTTAGCATGGGCAAGCCCAAAAGTACCCCCACATTCCCTGACTCCAGTTCTCTTATCCTGGAGGAGAAATAGCAGCTCTGTCTCTCTTGTTAAAATGAAAGTGCATCTCAGAATGTAAAATAATCAACCATAGCCTACTTTGTTGGTATTTGAAAGCTCTCAAGGATTTTGAACGGCACGGAAGGACCTGGAAGCCGCTACTTTGTTTCTTATGGTTCTGGGGATTGAAGTGGTGCCTATGCATGTTTGGCAAATACTGTGCTACTGAACTTTGGTCTAACCCAAACTAACTTAGAGAAACAATCCAAAGGGCCTGGAAGGAGGTGGTGGAGGCTGGAGATGTCAGCAGTCTTGGTCAAAGACCGTCTGAAACCGAACAGGAGAGGAGACGGTGGGAACAGAGACGATAAGCAGATGTTGCATGAGAGGCCTCCTGGGCTCAGTGGTTGCCCAAGCACAGCAACCAAGGAAGGGCAAAAAGGTAGAGATGGTCCAGGGGAGACTGTGATGGCAGATGAAAGAGACACTGACAGTGCAGACAAGGGGGAGATCAAGTGAGATGTGGCCCTACAGGGTTCCTGTGGGATTCTGGAAAGACCAAGAGTGTGAACAGGAATCTGGTCATCTCTGTCCAACTGGGAATAAAAACTTTGGGGAAGAAGACTCCCCCTGGGAGTGGGGGGTGGGGAGGAGGGGAATTGCTGAAGAAATGGTGCAAGTAAGCTAGGCTGTGGCTCCTAGAACCGGGAGGGAAAGCTGCCAGAGGGGAGTGGAGGCATTTCGGGAAGAGAGACGCCGAGCAGCCTGAGAGGGAAGCAGTCATACTTGGGTGACAGGAAGGGAATGGAGACCTGGAAGAATCCTCATGGGTGTGTGAGGGCCTCTGAGGGGTTAAAGCTGCCGCAGTTAGTTCACGGTGGAAGTCGTGGATGCAGACTAGTCTTTGAAAGAGCTCGGCAGGGAAAAGAACAAAAGATGGATGGTTAGCTGCAGGAGAAGGAGGTCAAAAAGAGGTTGGTTTTAGCAGCGGGGAGATCTGAGCATGCTCCCAGCTTCGGTGAAGACGACATAACGAGATGAATCAGAGGAAGGGATGCTGAGCACAGGCCAAACTCTCCACACCGCCTCTGCGTGCCCATGGGGACTTAAGCAGATGTCCACCGCTGACCGGACTCGACACTCTGCCCGCAGACCTGGAAACCTCTGCTTCCTCCCATCCCCAAGGTTGCGGATCTTTTGTTGAGTGTTTCAGGGATGCTCCCAGGCCTCTGCAGGGACCTCCTCTCTATTGATACATAGCCAACAGCTTGCTAACCTTTCACATCAATAATGACTTGTCCTTGCCCTGCACCAGCTCCACCCCTCTGGTGGCCATAGCCCAGGCCACACCCTAACCCATCCCACCAGGCACCAGTCATGGACTTCTTGGCTTCCCTGACCCTATCTGTAGCTAAAGAGGCCCCTCTGGATGACCTAATTGCCACTCTTTGCCTTCCAAAAGACACAGACTGGATCTACCACTTGACAGACTCAGCAGAACCTATGTCACCCTGGGCAGCCCACTTTATCCTGAGTAGCATCCTTTCTGAACTCCTCAACTTGGCCTCTAAGAAGACAAGGAAAAGTGACTGCCTGCTTCCCCTCCCCTTCACTGGGCAGAAGTGGAAATCAAGGCAGGAGGAGATCATGTTAGAGATCAGGCCGATGGCTTCCAAATTCTCTTTGCTTCCCCCATTCCTCGCCAGCCAGTCATCGCTGCCCTTCAATGAAGAGAAGCAGCCCTGGCACATTCTGTGTGCTTCATCATGGAGAACCAGCCCTCGAGATGTGCCAGGAGGAAGGCAAGATGGATTTTCACAGCAGTGTTACTTGGAATAGCTTAAGAGCAGAAACAAGCCAAATGCTCACCAGCTAGAGTTACCAGAATACATTCAGGACACCCAGTTTAAAAAAAAATGTTAGCAGCTTTATTGAGAAACAGTTTAAGTATCATAAAGTTCACTCATTTAAGTGTACGGGCAGTGGTTCTAAGACGAGATTTACAGACTTGTGTAATCACCATCACCATCTCGTTTTAGAACACTTTCATCACCTCCCTCCAAAACTCCTTGTACCCATTAGCAACTCCTCTACCGCCAAGTCCCAGACCACACAAATCTCTGGTGGGAAAGGCTGAGGCAGAGTCTCACTATGTAACCCAGGCTAGCCTCAAATTTATGATCCTCCTGCTTCGGCTTTCATGACTTGCTAGGATTAAAGGTCTGAACACCATGCTCGCGACAAACTGTTCCTCCCATGGATTTGCCTGCTCCAGATACTTGCCTATGGTCCTTTGTGACTAGCTTCCTGATACTCAAATACCTTATACCTTATACTCAACAATAACTTCCTCCTCCTCCTCCTCCTCCTCCTCCTCCTCCTCCTCCTCTTCTTCTTCTTCTTCTTCTTCTTCTTCTATTATTGCAGAAATCAAAGGGATAACATGGGAGCCGGTTCTCTCCTCCCCCTGTGCTCTAGGGATCTAGCTCAGGTCAGCAGGCTTGCTCATCAGCTCTTTTACCCACTGAGCCACCTCACCAGCTCAGTACTCAGTTTCAATGATTGAATAAGATTTCAATTCATGGACAGTCCACATTTTGACTGTCAGCTGATGGGCATTTGGGCTGGTTTCACCTTGGGGCTATTGTAAACAAGGCTGCTACAGAAGTTCAGGCATAAATGTGTACATGAACACACACAGCTCAGGGGACAACGGCGGGGACTGAGAAGCAACAGTAGTTAGGAGCACGGTGGCCTTACAATGGCCCTCTAGTGTGGTGCCATGTGTACCAATATGAGGTATGAAGGCTGACACCGAAGCCAGAAAAGCTTTCTCCCTGCCAAGCAGAGCGCCAGCTGGGGTGGAGCACCGTTTGTTCAGCTGAGGCCCCAGGGCAGTGAGCATGTCAGAAAGCCTACGACACACACATTTTCATAGGCTGTGTTCCAATCCAGGAGGCACAGAAGTGAGGCGTGCAGACAGTGAACGTTCACTCATTCCTCGCCCCTCCAAACCGGTCACACAGGCTCATTCCCTCTGCCTGTCTTTTCCTGGCCCCCGTTTCCTGATCTTAAGCACAACTCTAAATGCCATTCTACAGACACTCCCTTCAGATCCAGAAGGAATTCGCACCCGGAGCAGGGTCACTTGCCTAATGCCAGGGAAGAAGAGGGGTAGCCTGTAGTCCAGCCATCTGCTGCTCCCTCTATGGACCCACAGATCAAAAATTAATTCCTATTCCTAAATGCCACTCATTCGATCTGGTTGCTCATGCTGGTGACACAGAGGGGCCTTCGGATGACTAGGCTTCTGCATTTCCCCTTCCCCGATACTCAGGGCGTCGCCCGTGCTAGGCAAGTCCTCTACCACTGAGCTGTTTCGCTGACTCCAAAGTTGAACGATCTCATCACACAGAACCGGTGTCTGGGTACAGTAGCATACGGCCGACGGTCCAGAATGAAGTGCTGCAGGGCAGTGTGAGCACGTTGTCTTTGCGGGGCTCTTTTGCCCCTCGCGGCTTCGAGAATGACAGGACAACGATTTCCCGTTTCCTCCGACAGAGAAACTGCGGAGCGCGGTTCTGCGCCCTTGGCTGGAGCTCTGGGTCCCCCTGCTGGAGGGACTGGAGCCTGGGCGGGTCGTTGAGCCCGGAGGGCGGACCCCTCAGGTGACAGCTAAGAAGAACATCTAGATGGAATACAGTTGCTGTAACTCAGGGGAAGGGCCAGGGGAGCAGTCCTAGGAATGTCCAGCATGCCACCCCGATGGCGGCTCTGGCCTCCGGATGCCCAGCCCAAAATCCTTTCCTCCCACCCTGTTACCCCGTGTCTTCAGGCAAAATCTCCTGAAAGTGCCCAAAGCGCATGTGCTGGGAGCCCCTACCCTACCCCACCCCCCGCCCTGGGAAGATCTCCAAAGAGAGGATTCCCAGCACCCTCTGCTTCCCGCCAGCCTGACTCAGGAATCTGCTCTCAATGCTGACCTTCCACCTCCAGTACTTCTGGGAACCTTCATCAGGGCACAGAACCCTTGGTCTGCCAATTCACCTCAAAGGCTGTGAGCTTGGTCTCTAGGGCCTAGTAAATGTGCTCAAACGTCCCGTCTGAGAACGTGACCAAGAAGCCTCAGTTTTCCTGTCTGTAAAGTAGAAAGTACAGAATTTTCTGAATGAGCAGCTGGGAAAGTTCCGTGGTATTGTGGTTGGTAGCACTTGGGCATCGAACACATATTCACACGTATTGACATTTGCAGTTCCTCGGCCCCTCCTACCCCAACACTGAACACAGGAGAAAACGGTTAAGTACAGTAGTAGGCAAGAACGAGTTCTCCACAGAGCAGTTCGGCACGGCCCTGCCACGTGTTTGAGATTTCCCCAGCCATGCCACCTCCTTGCTCTTCCACCCCGTCTCCAGGGGGAGGAGTGGCAGCTGCTTCCCTGGGCGGCCCAATCCCTTGACCCAGCCAAAGGCCGGGCACAGCTGCTGGAGCGGCCGAATGCCTCAGGTTTAGGGCTACACAAAGGACAGCTGGGGCTGGAGAAGGAGGAGAAGGGATAGAAGATGGGCACCCTGCCCACTCTCCTGCAGCTTCTTAGACCTTCCTTAGCAGCCGGGGACCTCTGACCTCACTCTCGCCACAGCTGTGGGGGGGGGCTGTCCTCGTCCCCCCCCCCCATCTGCTCTCTAGGGCCTCCACCCCCACCCCATTCCCTCTGTCGCCCACATGCTGCCCAGCTGTCCCTGCCCCTGTGCTGGGCACTCCGCCCGCCTGCAGTACTCATGAATCGCCAGTATTCACACTCTGACCCCTCAGCCTCCACCTGTTCCCCTCGGTCTGGGCAGCAGGGCTGTGTGGCCCCATCTGTTGTCCTCCATCTAGGACTCAAGGCAAAGACTCCACTTCAAAACGCCCACTTCCACCTGCCTACAGTGGGTAGGAAGGCCTGACCGAGAGACAGGATCCAATTGGGAGGGCTTCATCTTCTTTCTCCCCTGGGCCACCAAGGCTGTCCCAAACAACCTACAACCTGTCCTTTCGCCTGAAGAAAGCTAAGCGCCCACTTTCGCCAGAAGGACCTTTGCATATTTAAACACATTCTAATTTCATTTCCTCATGGCCAGGCCCTTTATCAATGTACAATGGCAAATAGAAAAACAAGACAGTGGGAAATGGCGAGTGTACATGTGCATGATTGTGTTTGTGTGTGGGTGCGTGGATGTGTACCATAGTGACTGAGGCATCTCCCAGCCAAGAACATGTTAGAATTCTTTGTTCTGCAAGTAATATGGGAATGTACTTTTCTTACATCCATTTTATTTTGTTTTTCTAAGACAGGCTGGCCTTGAACTCTCGATTTTCTTGCCTCTGCCTCGCAAGTGCTGGGATTCCAGGTGTGGACCACCAGGATTGGGTTAAATATACTTTTCTTAATAAAAAAAAGTGAACCCAGTACAGTTCAGTTCAGACCAATATCCTCCCCGGATCTTTCAGAGCAGAAGTGACCACTATGACCACTTTGGGGTATTTCCAAGCATTTACTATATATTTATATAACCTGCCTGCGTGTGTTATATATGCTCATATATTACAGCACTCACATTCTTACGCAGGCTTAAGTTTGTATTGCCTTTATGTAGGTAGTGACCTACAAATAGTCTTAAAATAAGTTTGTTATTAAAAAAAAAAAGCTCTACCTGGCCAGGAAAAAGGACTTGGTGGACAAAGGCACAAGCTGCCAACCCTGACAGCCTGAGTTGGTCCTCGTGCCCCACATGGGGGAAAAGAGAACTGAGCCATGAGAGTCATCACAAAAGCACACACACGCACACACCAAACAAATAAGTGTAGAAACAGAATTTTAAAGGCCTACCTGTCTACATCAGCACACATAGCCCTGCATTCCTTTCTAATGCCGCTTCCTGTCCCATCATGGGCATGCGTCAGGCGCCATTTTGTCAGCTCCTCCTAGTGACAGCCATCTACTCCACCCTTGTTTTCCTCCCATGGTAAGCAAGATGTCCTTGTAACAAGTCTGAGCCTTCTCCAGCCTAGCTCTTCCTGGTCCTACTTGGCCCTGGGTCCCTACTCCTGTTTCAAAAGCACAATGCCCTTAGATCATTTTAAAAATTAAATTTTAGTCATCTTTTCCCAAGATCTTGTAGCCTAGTCAGGTGATTCCTCTTTCCACACAGAAGGGATGAAAAGATTTGGAAAAAGAGAAGAGGGTGGTGGGAGTGAAGGAGAGAAGAAGAAGAAGGAGGAGGAGGAGGAGGAGGAGGAGGAGGAGGAGGAGGAGGAGGAG